TTGCGTGTTCTATATTTTTTTTAATAACTACCGGTAATAATATCTGACTAATTTTAAATTCTCGCCAGCCGGTGAAAGACGGCCATTTTGTTGGAGTGGGACAGAGCTATCTGAATTGGAGCGAACACGTGTCAGATAAATCTTCATTGTTATAATCTCCTGGTACTTGTTCTATTGAAGTGGTGGGTGAATTGAGTCAACGAGGTCACGGGTTCGATACCCCGCAGTGGCTGATTAAGTGTCACCGTATTAAATTGTTTTTAAATGAATCATTAAGTTTTTTTTTTATTGTTATTAAATTTTGTTATTAGTTAGATACTCTTTATTGTTTCCTCCAAAAGATTACAATAATAAACTTATTATAAATATAAACAATTACATGAAATTATCACAATGAGAAAACAATGGGCGACCTTATCGCTAAGAGCGATCTCTTCCAGCCAACCTTTGCATGGAGAGGAGTAATTATAAACGGCTTGATTGGAGGCACGATGAAAATTTTATTATTTCTAAATATGGAGATGTAATACATATAATAATGTAATTCAATTAGAAATAATAAAATTTTGATTGTGCCTCCAATCAAACTGTTTATAATTACTCCTCTCCATCCAATGGTTGGCTGGTTGATTTTTTTTTGATGAGTGAAAATGGAATGGTAACCCCGCCTGCGCTAACGGGATACGCTAGCGGAGCACCAGTGGAGGGTCATAGATGAGAATGAAAACAGGCCAGTTAGCCCATCGTGATGAATTCATCAGGAATTAACCATGATAGTTTCCAGGGGGAACCGCGAGCAGGTCGACCTGGTTGGGTATATTGCTAGCAATAGGATTCTCAGTCTCCATTACTAACAATCCCTTTCCCCCCGCTAGTTGATTATTAGGTGAACGACTTTGTTCTTTCGATGCTCTACTTTATCTGTTTTGATCGCTGTACTAGCTTTTACCCGCAACTTCGTCCACGTGACCGGGATATGTTCACTGACCGGGGATAAGAAGTAGCCTATATCCTTCCTCATCACATATAGTGTTTACCAAATTTCATAGTGATTGGTTCAGTCGTTAAGCTAAAATAACAGACAAAAAACATCACACAAACATTTAAAATACTGGAAAGGCAATGGGATTCTCCAATCCCTTTCCCCCAGAAAGGGATTGGAGAATCCCATTGCTAGTAATATACCCAACCAGGTATATATATATATATATATATATATATATATGTGTATATATATATGTATATATATATATATATATATATATATATATATATATATATATATATATATATATATATATATATATATATATATATATATATATATATGTGTGTGTGTATATATATATAATATTATTTGCTTATATGTATTTTTTTAAGTATATGTATTTTACTGCTCATGTCTGTAGACGACGGTTACCACTTTCCATCAGGTGGACCGTCAGCTTGTTTGCCGTTATAAGTTGTATAAAAAATGATGGTTTTTTGTGTAGAACATAATCTAAATTATTTAAAGTAGTCTATATTATACAGTATTTTAAATACAGGATAGTATAATAGAATTATGCTATGTCCAACTCTATCCCATATAGTTAAATACATAGCGATCGATTCAGCCGTAACGGCGCCTCGAGCTAACAAACAAACTCACTTTCACATTTATTAGTAAGGACAAATACATGAAAACAACCGGGCGGTAACCGTGTCAACACGTAGCATGGGCTCGCTTCGGTCGCTTCGGTCGCTTCCGGCTATCTACGCGCTGTAGTGATGCGCCGACGAGTCGACTTCTTAATTTTCTTTATAAATACCCACGTTGTATGTTTTTACCATTTTTTTTGGTAAATTTTATGGGTTCGCGAAAAATTTGAGAAATTTGGGGTTTGATTTTTAACAGTTTTTGAAGTGAAACGAATATTTATTTGTCAAAACACTTTTACAAGGGTGATTAATTCAGAAATGCGGTTTAGCCATGGTGGTATATTAAGTGCTCGACTGACATATAAAGATATTCTGACACTTGGCTACGGTTGACTGGGAGAGAATGCTTCCAGCATTAAGTACGCCATGTACACATATTTGTACTAATGAATAAATAAATAAATAAAAATATATACATGCAAACTATGCAATTGGGGGAAGTATTGCTAATATAATTTCATTCTAATTTTGTATGTTAGCACACTAGGTTTATAACATTGATTTGGCTTTTGCTGTCATAATGTTGCAGTTATTTTTCGTGAATAAATAAAAAAAATAAAATATTTCATGGTATTTATATTATATACCGCTATCGTCATCACCATATCAGCCTATACGTAACGTAAGCCTCCCCTTTGGGGGGTTTTGCCAGTAGTTGGCACGCTTGACAGCAGGAGTGTTGGCTTGGCAGGCTTTGGACATGTTTTAAGAGATACGCCGCTGTCCATCCCTCGCCGTCCATTAGTCGCCTCTTACGACGCCCACGGGAAAGGAAGGGGTGACCTACGGTAAACATATGGCTGTACGGTTTAAAAATATAAAATTATGTATACTTATACACACATATATAAATGCTCAATCTAATTGCATAGTTTTTTTTTTTAACAAATGGTAATGGAATGGGCACCAGTGAGGGATGATAAGTGAGAATGAAAAGGCAGGTCAGTTAGCAGTGGGGCCATTAGTCTATATTACTATCTATACCCAACCAGGTCGACCTCCTCGCGGTTCCTAATATGCCCTATATTGCTAGCAATGGGGCTGTCAAACTCCATTGCTAACAATCCCTTTCCCCCCAAGCTGGCCATATTGGTAATATATGTACGGATTGTGTAACACGAGCTTCCACAAGTGGTCTCGGAAGCGGTTCACCTCAGCAACAAAGGCGGCTGGGCGGACCTTGGCCTAGTTGCATGCACCCCGCCCACGTACAGCGCTTCAGCGCTTCACCGGTCAATACTAATATGTATAAATTGCACAGCGACCTTACAAATGTTGGGTTTTATTAACATTACGTCAGTGATAGGAATTAATTAATAGTGTATTTTAAAAAAGGGCGAGCACGCGAGAGATATATCTTATATATAAAATTCTCGTGTCGCGGTGTTTGTTACCAAACTCCTCCGAAACGGCTTTACCGATTTTTATGAAATTTTGTGTGCATATCGGATAGGTCTGAGAATCGGCCAACATCTATTTTTCATACCCCTCAATGATAAGGGTGACCCTCTCCAAAATATTTATTTTTTTATTTTTTTTGACAAATTTTTCCATTTGTATTTTATTATGATTTAGCATTGTAAAATACATACAGTTTTACGATCAACCCCTATACTTTAATTGCGATTTTTATATTTCGCAATAAGTGGTAAAACAACGTTTACGGGGTCAGCTAGTATATATATACTACTACTGCCACTCACTACGATTTTCAGCGAGTCTCTTCACCTCTTGATACGACACTACACCAACTATACATACATACATACATATATATATATATATATTCTACTCAGCTTAGTTAGTAAAAGAAATAAGTATATTTTCTAAACATATATATATCTATGTATGTTCAATAGATAATTGACTGTCTATGAATAAAAATGACTGAATATGTCATAGTTTAAAAATGTTGTCAACCACTGCACTATAACCAGACTTGGTGTCTCTTCCTTATATTAAAAATAAACTGGTAAGTGAAATTCAGATATCAACAACATTTTTATAATATAAAGTAATATTTTATCTTATAAGGGTGCCGCCTTGCACCCGACCTTGGCCCAGTGACGATTTTACCGCTCAGCGCTTTCAGCGCTTCAAATATTATCTCTAATGTCCAACACAAAGAGTTGGACCGGCAACTCGTTTTAATATATTTTATTAATAATTTTGCTCCCAATTTTGTTTGTTATAATAAAATAATATTATTAATGTAATATTATATTATTATTTTAATACTGAGAACAATAATTCAAGCCAATCTCCGATGATGCTTTACCAATTTTAATGAAATTTTATAAATAAATGTATTCATCATCGTCATTTCAGCCATCATCCGTCCACTGCTGGACATAGGCCTCCCCCATAGACTGCCATAAGGAACGGTCCCGAGCCACCTGCATCCACTGACTCCCTGCAATGCATTTCAGGTCGTCACTCCATCTAGTGGAGGGTCGTATTGCTTGTATATATATATAAAATAACGGTATTGTTTACTCCAAATACTTTCACCCTCCGGCGGGTGGGCTAAGGTAGGGGATTTGCCTCAGCTTCAACCTCCGACGCTACTCCCGGGTCACGGGAACTAACGCCTTCAGGCGGGCGTTCTAAGTATAGTTTTTATCCTAACAAGTAAAATTGACTATTTAGGTGGCTGTTGGGGGGCGATACGTTTGCTGGATCAACTAATATTACGATAAATTTATTCAAATTTATTTCTTTTTTTTTTAATATATATAAGTTTTTTTACTTTTATTTTATACTATCGAAATGACACAAGCTTACAGCCCGCCTTATGGTAAACAGTTGCTGTATGTGCAATACAACGTGCCTTATTAATCCTGAAGGAACCTTATTGCCCCATTTTCGAAGAAACCTATAATAAGAGATAACATTTTATCATAATTAATAATTCATAGACATCAAAGCTGATGAAAGAGTTTGAAAAGCGCTGCAGCGCTGTTTTTTACAAATCGCGTTCTATTTTTAAACTGGGGCGTTGGCAACAAGCGCCCGCCAAAATAGGTCGTTTCAAAAATAATTAATATTTTAGTCTATGGTCGTTTAATGGACTATTGTATAGAGAAAGGTAAAATACGGTTCGTTTTTAACCGACGGCAAAAAGAGAGAGGTTCCCAATTCGGTTGTAATTTTTTTGTTTGTCACCACATAACTCCGTCAGTTGTAAACGAATTTGGAAAATTATTTTTTACGAGTACCTATTCGAAAGGATTGGATTAAGACATAAAAAAAAGCAGAAAATCGGAAAAAATAACAGAAAAATTGTATTTCTATTCCAGATGCACAGCTGCGAGACGTTGCCAGCGGCGCCGGCGACGGGTCCAAACCTCCTCCTGGAGCTTGGGCGGCTCATCATCAGAGCGCGGAGCACGAGTCCCGTGTGCCGCGCGCCGGCCGCCACCCGCGACCGCCTGTTGCAGGCGAAGCTCCTCGCCGCCAAACCTTCCACCAGCCAACAAGTGAGTTATGATGTCCTAGTGTCTAGTCCCCACACATGCTTGACACCATCTGCGACACTCCTTGTCGCCAGGGGGGAAAGGGATTGTTAGCAATGGAATTTGACAGCCCTATTGCTAGCAATATACCTTATTAGGTCGACCTCCACGTGGTTCCCCCTGGAAACCATCGTGAACAGTTCTTGTTGAATTCGTCACGATGGGCCAACTGACCTACTTCATCCTCACCTATCATCCTTCACTGGTACTCCGCCGGTGTATACCGATAGCACGGGTGGGGTTACCATTCCATTATCATCTATTAAAAAAAGACTCCTCGTCTCCGAGCCTTCCACCAGCCAACAAGTTAACGACAAACACGGCGATTGCTCTGATGGAAAGTGGTAATCTTCGTCTATACACACGAACCAAATTAAGGGTCCTGATTTTTTTTTTCTGTATGTCAATAGGCTACGTGGTTAAAGAGTTTGAAAATGACATTTTTTTTTTTTAATTCCCCATTGTAGGTGCAGAGCCAGCCGAAGCCGGAATGCGACGAGGCGCGGCCCGCAGTGGAGGCCGCGCTCAATGATCACGTGCAGGCTCTATGGAACGATCAAATACCCATATGCATCGAGGTGATCGTTGTTTATTTATTTATTTATGCTTTATTGACCATATTACAAAAAAAATGTCTGGTACAAAAGGCGGCCTTAATACTATATAGCATTCTCTCGCAGTCAACCTTGTTTACAACATCGTTCTACTACCACTATTTCTATGTTCTAATGCGAAATTTTGTATGATTACATGTTTATTACTGTTACATACATAAACTGAATTAAATTTTTGTCAAATTTAATATAATATGATTAGGTTATGTTACTTAGAACTTTAGTTCGAGACTGTACAAAAGTCGTTTGCTTGAGCACCTCTGTCCCATTCGTGTTTCTACCGTGAAGCAGTTGTGTTTGTATGGCTGTGTTTCGGTTTGAAGGGTGGGATATTGCAGTGAATTTACAGGGTACAGAGGAATAACACCCGAGTCCACAGGAATGGCAACGCATGGGGAGTATCATGGGCGTAATAGTATACTCTGTTATGTCCATGGTACTGCTCATGTGTATAGGCGACGATTACCACTTTCCATCAGGTGGACCGTCAGCTTGTTTGCCATTCTAAGTTATATATAAAAAAAACTGAAATATATTGCCCAACCCTAATTGATTTTTTTAATGGAATGGTAACTCGCGCTAACGGCATACGCCGCCGGGGCACCAGTGACGAATACTTGAATGACAAGCAGAATTTATCTTGTAATTTATATATAAATAACTAACTCAATGACTGGATAATATTGTAACAGATCCTTAGACTATTTCTAAAGTGAAAGAAGTGTCGTCCTCCTCTCTCGTACTCGCTGTGCCCAACACGGTCCATAATTGAAATGTTATCTACAAATTATATTATGGAACGCAATAAGAAATAAATAAAAATAAAAATACTTGACAGGGTGTGGTAGTTACTAACAGCATTACTAACAATCCCCCTCCCCCCCCCCCAGGTGCTGCTGGCGCCCGATTGTGCTGACTGCTACTCGGCGCTGAGCCGCGCGGACGCCAACTTCGACAAGCACACGCAACGCGCCCTGCTTCTAGAACGGTGGACGATCAGCGCGCTGCTGCACAAGTCAGTACCACCGGCGTCCAATTGTTTATTTGTTTATTAAACTTTAATGCACCTAGACAGTGGAAATGGCTTGGCCACCTCTGCCACATTCGTGTTTCAACTGTGAAGCAGTTGTGTTTGCATGGCTGTGTTTCGATTTGAAAGGTGGTATATTGCGTGAATTTACTGGGTACAGAGGAATAACATCTGAGTCCTCAGGAATGTTAACACATGAGGGTTATCATGGGCGTAACAGTATACTCTGTTATGTTCATGGTACTGCTCATGTCTATAGGCGACGGTTACCACTTTCCATCAGTTGGGCCGTCAGCTTGTTTGACATTCTAAGTTGTATAAAAAGAAATATATATATGTATATTATGTAATAATAAATAATATCAGATTAAAAACTATTCAAATACGAGTGAAATGAAAGAAGCAAAGCATTTTTCTATTTTTTTTTAATTAGCTATCATTTTTTTTGTCCCCATCCATTCCCAATTTCTGTCAGCTATTAATTTTTGCGCTGTCAGTGTACACTGGTGGGGCACCAGTGAGGGTTAGATGTGGATGAAGTCCGGCTAGTTAGTACAACGTGACTAATTCCCCAACAATTAATCATGACGGTTTCCAGGGCATGATCCCATCTCTCCTACAGGTACCGTCAGGCATACAACGTTTGAAACGCGCCCTGCCTCCACGCGGTTCCTCCTGAAAACCAACGTGATAGATTTGTTGCTAAATTTGTCAGGCTAACTGACCTGCTTCATCCTCACTGATCATCCCTCACTAGTGCCCCACTAGGGTATACCGTTAGCGCGGGTGGGATTAGCATTACATTATCATCCATTAAAAACAATAGTCAATGTAAAAATATCCACTTTGTAAATTACAGAAACCACGAGATACCTGGGTTCATAACGTCGCAATGGCTGCTGAACGCGATCAGGTCGCAGCTGCACTTCTCACAGTTGTCTGCGTGGCTCGCCACACTCAAGTCGAAAGGCGACGAGGCCTCCTCACCCACCGAGCGCAGGTATATGTTCTCGACTTAATAAGGACAATGGTCTTTTAGGTAAAAGCGTGCCATATTATTTCTTACTGTCATTTTAGACAGTTTTGGTACTGCTGAGAATGTTAAACTTACAGTACACCTGATGGAAAGTGGTAACGGTCATCTATAGACATGAACAGCAGCGTGGATATCAAAGAATAACACCTGAGTCCTCAGGAATGGCAATGCATGGGGGGTATCATAGGCGAAATAGTATACTCTGTTACGTCCACGGTACTGCTCATGTCTGTAGGCGACGGTTACAACTTTCCATCAGGTGGGCCGTCAGCTTGTTTGCCGTTCTAAGTTGTATAAAAAAAAAATGTCTCTGTATACTGTAATTTCACTTTCCTACCATAAAGAAAGTGAATTTACATACATAACTAATTGTGCCAAAGTATTGCTACTTTTACGACGACTAAAGCGTTTATCTCTCTCACAGATTACATTATATTATCTATCTTTTAGACTAAAATTCAATAAAATTCCATATATTTTTTAAATATCTTGGAAAGTAGTCAAACCATTTTCATTATTGGGCAATATGCATATCGGAAAATCAATGTGAAACCTTTTTTCAGACGCAAACTCAGCCGTGAGACATGCAACATCAAAAAACTAGAGTCCAACTGCGACGAACCAACCGAACAGGACCGCAAACTGCATATCGTCTACTCCATAAAGATACCGGGCGAGAACCACATGTCAGAGTTTACTAGGCCACCGACAGACCACAATTTTCCCATCACAGACATAGGCGAGAGCATGTACCTCAAAGTGGTTCTACAAAGTCTCCCGCGCGTCGACGAAATACCCGTGGTCAAGTGCAATTGTAGGAGAAACGGCAAAGACCCAACTAATATCCAGGAGGAATTGGTTGGGATACTAAATGATCTCACTTTAGGACCTAGGTCAACTAAATTCGCGTCCGACTTCAACGAACCAGATAAAGGGAAGAAGATTCTAGACGACAGGATGCACACACCGTGCAGCGAGAACGGCAAACACAAATGCAACTGTGACGATGAGTCGGACAGCAATCACAGATCTTCCACTAGGTTAAGTCAGGAGCCGAAGAAGTTAGACGAGCGACGGCTGAAAGAGATAGCGAAATACAAAAGGCGGTTGCGAAAAGAGAACAAAATGAAAAAGCTGTGCGACAGTACGTCATCAGAAGGGGACAATTTGAAGCCCAAAGAAACGCACACGTCCATACCTATACTGCAAGCGGCCAGATTTGACAGGTTTAGAGCAATCGGCTGCTACAGAAACCAGACGTATTTGACATTGCCCGCCAGTAGGATAGAGTCCAAATCACCCTTCGTCGAGACCGTGAGCATTCCACCAGCAGAGTTTAAGAAGACCAACACTGTTTCCACGCAGACGGACGATTTAACTTGCCAGTGTGGTTCGCCTTTGTTGATGAAATGCGACGGCTGCTCCGACAGAGGAATGGTGAGATCGGAAGCGAATTACAATTTAGCTCTTCTCGATCAGTCAGAGGTGCTTTTGGACGCGATAAACAAATGCCAAGAGCAGAACGGCGCAAGAAGGAAATGCGAGGATGATGACAAGGCGTTGAAAAAGCATAAATGTGATAATTCTAGTAGTAACATAATGTGTGATAAATATAATAATAGTTTAGACGTAGAGAGTGAGTCTATTATAAAGAGACCCAAGTTGAGACGATTTTATCCCGTAGTGGATCGGATAGAGAAGATTGTAGCCGAAAGGAGTTCGAAAGAAGCGGAGAAAGATATGGAGGAGTTACATTTGAGGAATGACGATACGGTGTTCTCGTTGAAACCGGAGACGAAGAGACAGAAAACCTTCTCGATAAGCGAAGATTACGTTCTGTACGAGAAATGTGATTACGGCACGATTGACAAGTGCGATATGGAATCTCCCTCCGAGGAGAACGGGTTCCAGTTCCCGGACCCCAAGAAGGGGCAGGACACTGTGCCGTCCCCGACGGAAATGGACAGGTTTAGGTGGCGGTTCGATTCCGCTGCGTCAATGGTGTTCCACACGAAGACTGGTTTACCACTGACGTCCAGTCCCGCCCCCTTGCGGAGGGGGAACAACTGCTTCGATTTTGATGATTCAATCAACGGAATTTCTGGTATAAAGAGGTTGGTAAACATTTTTTAATTTGAACATTATATATATTATATATCAACCTACTTGATGGTAAGTGGTAACTGTCGTCTACAGTCATGAACAGTACTGAACAGCATCAGGAATATCCTTACTAATATAAATGTGACAGTGAGTTTGTTTATTTGTTACCATGTAGTCTAAAAGTTGCACCAATAGCAGAGAAGTTGGGAAGTAATATATTGGTTATGTCATGTGTAGGAATGAAAGCCATGTTCTGAGGAAGGAGTTAAGTATGAAAGTGGATGGATGTAAAGAAAAGGGACGATTGAAGGAAAGGTGGATGGACTGCGTGAGAGATAATATGCATAAAAGAGGAGTGAGCCCAAGTATGACGGTTGACCCCTGAACTGGATTTGTGAAAGACATACTGTTCCGACCCCAAATAAATGTGAAAGGACAAGGCAATGATATGTTCAGCAGTGGACACATAATGACTGAGATGATGATGATGATGACGATGAAGGCAATGATAAACTAATACGAAAATGTATTTTGTTTTCCAGTGCCCTGTTCCACCCGATCTCCCCCCTGTCGCCTGCGCCGCCTACTTCTCCGTCCTCCCCACGTCCCATTTCACCCCTCCCTGTCCCCACCTCTTCCTACATCCCCGCTCCAAAACCTGTATCCACACCCGCCCCCGTCCCCACACCTGTGTCCGTCCCCGCCCAAATTACCGCTCCCGGCACACCGCCGCCCAAGACGAAGAAAGGACAAACTCCGAAGTTGAAGATTGGGCCCAGCGGTGGACTACTGGGTAAGTGTTAACTAAATATCAAAACATTATTTTATATATATACAAATTTTGATCCACGACTTCGTATTTTTTTTATACAACTTAGAATGGCAAACATGCTGACGGTCCATCTGATGGAAAGTGGTAACCGTCGCCTATAGACATGAGCGGTACCGTGGACATAACAGTTTGTTTATATTTTCAACAAGATCTATTGAGACAGACATTACAATACCTTCGTGCCTGTCCGTTCTTCAGGCAGCTTCGAGGAGTGCGCGCTGCAAGGGCGGCTGGAGCCGGTGGCGACGGTGGCCGGCTTCAGCGCCGAGCTGGGCGCGTCCGGGGCCTTCTGTCCCCCTCACCGCCGGCTGCCCGTCACCGTGTTCTTCTACGCGCCGGGCGGGACCAACGCGCCGTACATGGTGAGTGATACGAAATGACTCATGCGTCATACTCGTGAACGTCATTAAAAATAACACACACATTCTCTTTTTAGTGTGGGTGCACTTTGTGTTAACATGTATACGTACACATACATATGCCATTTATTCCCTACTCCCCCTTTTTCTTCCTTTCCCGTAGGTGTCAGCTGTGTCCCTGTTAAAACATCTCTAAACCTTAACTGCGGTTGCTAACTCACCTGCCAAGCGTAGCAACTACTGACAAAACCTCACAAAGGAGATACTTATGTTCAGCAGTGGATGGTTAAAGACTTTTTTTACACAACTTAGAATGGCAAACAAGCTGACGGCCCACCTGATGGAAAGTGGTGACCGTCGCCTATAGACATGAGCAGTACCGTGGACATAACAGAGTATACTGTTTCGCCCATGATACCCCCCATGCATTGTCATTCCTGAGGACTCAGGTGTTATTCCTCTGTACCCAGTAAATTCAGAATAAATAAATAAATGTTTCACGTGTCCAGGGTCACATAAACTTGGGCCCTTCCGGCTACCGGGTGGCGCGCTCGGGCACCATCCAGGTGTCGCTGTTCAACCCGCACGGCACGCTGGTCAAGATGTTCGTGGTGCTGTACGAGCTGACCAGCATGCCGCCGCTGGCCAGGACCTTCCTGCGCCAGCGCACGCTCTACATGCCGGCGGGCGCCGACCCGGCCGCCGTGCTGCACCCGCACAATCTGCATCGGTGGTTACGCTACCTCATACACTTGCGGTTCGTGATGCTCTTTCATTTGTTTTTGACCGATTTCAAAAAATGGACGTTCTCAATTCGATTTTTTTCAAATATTTGTTAAGTACCTCATAAATCTGTCAGTTGGGGGGAAAGGGATTGTTAGTGATGGAGACTGAGAATCCCATTGCTAGTAATATACTGGTACCCCGCCAGTGTATACTGATAGCACGGGCGGGGTTACCGTTCCACTATCACCCAATAAAAAACAACAGTTTTTTTTTATGGGTGAAAATGGTATGGTAACCCCGCCTGCGCTAACGGGATACGCTGGCGGAGCACCAGTGAAGGGTGATAGATGAGAATGAAAACAGGCCAGTTAGCCCATCATGATGAATTCATCAGGAATTAACCATGTTAGTTTCCAGGGAGAACCGCGAGGAGGTCGACCTGGTTGGGTATATTGCTAGCAATGGGATTCTCAGTCTCCATTACTAACAATCCTTTTCCCTCCATCTTTGAGCGTTGGCAGTCACACATACTAATGGTAGCGGAATTAAACGAAATAATTCTTCAAGTAACGGGGTACCACTTTCCATCAGGTGGGCCGTCAGCTTGTTGTATAAAAAATTTACATAAAATTTCTATCATTACAGATTTATGACATCGAAATCCGGGAAACTGTACCTTCACACGGATATACGTATATTAGTATCTAGGAAGGCCGATTTGGACACAGCCACCGCACATTCCACTATATTCAGACCAATTCCGACCAATCAGAACAAAGGTGACGAGAAATCGAGCAGTGACGCACTGAAATCGACCAATCAGAGCGCAGCATTGAATAATTCGACCAATAAGAACGGGACAGATTTGAAACCGGCCAGTAGCGATGCTAGAACGACCAATCACACGCCGAACAGAGTTTTTGGCGGGTGTGGTGACTTTGAACGCAGCGAAATGAAGGAAATTGGTTATGAGAACCAAAATGGCGTATCGTACGAGCTGAGGAGTTTCACGTACGCACCGGACAATCCTAGATATTCTCCGCGGTAGACACGAGATCAGTTTATGTTAGTGCCTGCCCTATAATATTATTTGTGTTAATAAATATATGTACTAATGAGAAAATATATTTTTGGTTTTATATAATACATGTACAGTTTTATTTTATTACATTAGAGAATTTTTTTGAAGGACTTCTTTGAGCCTTTACTTAGAAACTTTTAGTACATTGAATCGTACAGTTTTAGATAGTGGTCGACATTCATCGATGGTCACTACGTCTCCTAGCTCCACGTCTCTGAAGCAAGGCGACAAATGTACAGACATGTTCGTGTGGCGTTTCTCGAATCTGTTACACTTGGGCAGGTAGTGGAGGTAGTCACGTCTGATCACCATTGTCCTCTGCATCTTCATCTGCACCGCGTCGGTGAGGATTCCGCCACTACAACTCACGTTGCCGGGTTTACCAGAGGGAAACTTTGTACAAACATCGATTGCTTCGGTACCTCTGTCCCATTCTTGTTTCTACCGTGAAACATAACTGAAGACTGACAGAACTGAGAACTAATGTTAATATTCTGTTACCGCAATATGGTATACATAGAATAGATTTAGGAATTGTACCGGTTCAGTTAAAAGATGGGACGTCACAATATTTTTTTATGTCTATGATGCTGTTCGCAGTGGCGTAATTACACCATTTGTCTAGTGCTATTTGCCTATGGCAAATTTTTTTAAAATAAAATACTTAGGTACAAGTTAAAAAAAAATTCTGAGCTCGGGGCCTCTTGGGCTGGGCCCCTTTTGGGTCGGGGGCCCGTATCATTTTGCCAGCCCTGCCACCTTATTGTTACGCCACTGGCTGTTCGTGTCTATAAGCAACGGTTACCACTTTTCATCACGTGGATCATCGGTTTTTTTTCAACTATGACTTTCATAGAAGACTTATATTGCAAAGAATTATATATAGAAAGGTGTGCGTAAATGAAATATTTATTATTTCATACAATTCGTTTAATAAATAGTCATACAACACATTACATACATAATAAAGTTCATACAATTTATGGCGACGACTTAAAGACAAGTAGGTAGGTACATGCAGCTATGTAGATAACATACCTTTATAGAATTCCAAAAAAAATAATAACAAATCAAGTGATATATCCGCAGAAACGTTTACCAATATCCTTTAAAAAGAAATAAGTCTGTACCCACTAGATGGCGCGACGAGCTTAAATGCATTGCACGAAGTCCGTGGACGCAAGTGACTTAGGATCGTTCCTTATGGCAGTCTATGGGATAGGCCTAGGCTTAGCGGTGGATAATTTAAGGATTAAAATAATGATGTTGACTTCAAATGCATTACCATGAGAATTATTCTAGAATGATTTAACAAAGTGCATAAGATAAGCGATGGAAATCAATATACCCAGATCTTAATTTATTAAATTAATCTTAAAACTACAATTAAATAAATAATTACATCTAATTGACTGGCTGAATTAATAAAGTTGCGTTAAAAATATTAACAAAAAAAAAAGAATATAAACATGCTCACGACTATAATCCTTAAGAGGGTAGACAGAGGCGTTTTTCGCCATTAACTAACGAGGAAAGGGCTGTTACCAGTGGTTTCCATACACAATGGAGATATTTTGATAGCAATTATGCGTCTCCTTAACGTAATTCTAAGGGCTAGTAGTTAATTAGTAAATAAATATATCGAGAACGCTGCTTTTTTGGTGGCGTGTGGGAAAATTATGTTAAATCAATGAAATCTCATCTCGGAGTTCAGCATAATCCTACACTTCGTACGTTGTGATAGAGTGTAGGCGATAGTTGATTAAATAACGAAATTTTTGTGATATTTTTGAGTTAATATTAATCTGTAATTTTTTATTTATAATTATTTGTTATATAGAGTTAAGCGAACGTTCCTAAATAAATTTTTAAGCAATCTGCCACACACATTGCTACAACGCACAAAGTACAGTGTACCTATATAACTATATTTCACAATTATTACTATGGTTTTTAATGCTTTACAAATTTTAATAAATTAATTCCAATTAAAAAATTAATAAATAATATAAAATACTTAACAGGTACATAACTAATTAAATTAAACGCTTATTCTAAACCATTCACTTTGGACATTCCAATAAATACTTAAACGTAATAGAAATATTATTAATCCACCTGGAATTTGTTCCATTTACGCCAAATACCCAACAAGTGTTTGACGAAAGTGGAATTTTATGTAACCAGAATATAAATAATATAAAAAGACGCCATGTCGACACATACACATAACATCCTTGTATGTCGGCTTAAAACCCAGTGGCGCAGGGAGATACCGGGGTAGTAGGGTTCACCCGACGCCCCTACCTCGCCTGCTTACCATCACAGCGGGTATTAAGTGATGGCAACACACACAAAAAGTAGTATAAAACAAAAACCAATTTGAAATAACGCGACCGTTTTAAAATGACCCGACTGTTCTTTAGACATTTTTTTTATGGAATGTATGTATGTATATACATTTTTATTACATGTTTGTATGAGAAGATAAAATGTTTTGTTATGAACTGCATGCGTGCGAAGCCGGATGCGGTTACTAGTTGTAAGATATTGTTTAAAATAGTCACTTGTACTTTGTTTCACTGATTTTTTTATACTACATATTTTTTTTTTTACAATTATTTTACTATATTTACACGTGTTGCCAGTCGCAAAATATATCTATAGGAAATGTGAAAACGAATCTATCAAACGGAAGACTTGTTCTTGTGATAGATAGTTGATAGATTCGTTTGTACTCTGCCTAGGGGGACAGGTATATTTAAAAAATAATCATTATAAACGGTATAATTAAAAATCTATCAACAAGGCACAGTGTAGAATACCTAGTAGGCATTGGTAATATAAGTACCGTTGCAATATCTATATATCGGCTTCTTGGACATTGATAGCGGAAAAAGACCCCGTACCCTTCGGATATCTATATTAATTTCGATCGAGTTCTTCATTTAATATTGTGTAATAGTACATTACTGCAGCGGCCAGCAACTGAGGCATTGATGGACGAACGTGCAAATGTGGGCCGAGGCACAGCCGAGGCACACATACGTAAGTCCATCAATGCCTAGTTGTGGCCAAGGCTTGTATAGTATTTTTCTCAAACGCTAACCGCTTACCATCAGGTGGACCGTATGCTTGTTTGCCACCTCAGTGTTATAAAAAAAAATCTTTTACCATCTCTTTATATTTTACAGGTATTAAAACTGTCTAATAATTGTCTAAAATTCTGAAAATCCATTTCACTTTTCTTCAAAAATTTAATTTCTCTAAAACTTCGCGAACAGAAAACATTTTATACAAAAATTGCGAAAAAATACTCTATCTGGCAACACTAGATTCATATTATGTTTTGTAAAGCCCGTTTTAACCCTCCTACCGTCTACAGTTTTAATCTTTAGTTAGTAGAGGGCGGTAGTACTGTAGGGGGCGCTCCTGTGCCGCGTACGGTGAGTTGGGTAGGTCATCAATCTCTATATCTGCTTCCTGGAAGATAGAAAATACAATCAAAGTTTATAATTTAGGTTTTTGCTTTGTAAAAAAGTTTAATTCTGACCAAGTTATTACTGAAATAATATGGAAATAAAAAGGGGGAAGGATATTTTTTTAATAAACGATAGTGGAATTTTAACTCGTTTGTGTTAATTGTAACTGTAAGTATATACTTTTAAGTATATATCAGAGGGAGACTATACAAAAGTCGATTGCTTGGGTACCTCTGTCCCATTCGTGTTCTACCGTGAAGCAGTTGTGTTTGCATGGCTGTGTTTCGGTTTGAAGGATGGGATATGGCGTGAATTTACAGGGTACAGAGGAATAACGCCTGAGTCCTCAGGAATGGCAACGCATGGGGGGTATCATGGGGGAAACAGTATACTCTGTTATGTTCATGGTACTGCTCATCTATCTATATGGTCTATAGGCGACGGTTACCACTTTCCATCAGGTGGGCCGTCAGCTTGTTTGCCATTCTAAGTTGTATAAAAAATAAAACTTTTAGCTAAAAAAAGATTTTTCCAAATCGGTTTACAACTGAGTTATGAGGTAACAAACATAAAAAAAAACAATCTAATTGAGAACTTAGTTCTTTTTGAAATTGAAATAGTTGAAAACATAACACAAAAAAAAAAACAGACGAATTGAGAATCATCTTGTTTTGAAACTTATTCAAAAATCTATATAAATTAAATTGTCAAATCTTAAAATCTTTAAACTAAATTTCTAATGTAAGTAGTATATTCATTTATTTTAACGTTTATTATATAAGTAGGTAGGTATTTTTTTTTTTGCGGATGAAAATGAAACGGTAACCCCGCCCGCGCTAACGGGATACGCTGGCGGAGCACCAGTGAAGGTGATAGATGAGAATGAAAACAGGCCAGTTAGCTCATCATGACGAATTCATCAGGAATTAACCATGATAGTTTCCAGGGGGAACCACGAGGAGGTCGACCTGGTTGGGTATATTGCTAGCAATGGGATTTTTAGTCTCCATTACTAACAATCCCTTTCCCCCCAAGTAGGTAGGTATTGTATGTATTTATGTAATATTTTATTATATATTTTAATATTTTATTTAACTGTATATTCGTTTATGTATTAATAGTTGTAGCACTTCAGCTGCCCGCTAACAACATGCTTTCTCGCTGTACTGGGTTGACTGGAAGAGATCTCTGTTAGAGATAAGTCCACCCTTGCTCACAACATTTATAAATACATTATTCTATATGTAACTTACAAGTGCAATAAAGAATATATACTGAGCAAAGGTACAGAGTACAGGACGTATCATCGGCGTCATATACTCTGATGTCCAGACACTGTTTATGCCTATAGGCGACAGTTACCATTTTCCATCAGTTAGGCCGTCTGCCTGTTTGACATTCTAAGTAGGTACCATTTTTTTTATGACATCTACGTTTATTTATAAAAAGAAAATATTTTTATCACATCTTAAAAAAGCATCCACTGATATTACTGCAAATGGCGTCTTTGTTAATTGACCAAAGATCACTTCCTTCTTTGTGGGTGTCGTTAGAGACGACTAAGGGAACTCAATACTCGAGGGATGGGCAGCTACTCTCTTGAAACATCTCTAAAAGCCTAACTGCGGTTGCCAACTCGCCTGCCAAGCGTGGCAACTATTGCTAAAACTCCCTTTATGCAAAAGGCCTATATTCAGTAGTTGATGATTAACTCTGATATGTGGGGGGAAAGGGATTGTTAGCAATGGGGTTTGACAGCCCCATTGCTAACAATATGCCTTATTAGGTCGACCTCTACGTGATTCCCCCTGGAAACCATCGTGAACAATTCTCGTTGAATTCGTCACGCTGGGCTAACTGACCTGCTTCATCCTCACCTATCATCCTTCACTGGTGTCCCGCCGGTGTATACCGATAGCGCAGGCGGGGTTACCATTCCATTATCATCCATTAAGTACCCGTAACCGACGAGCGTGTATGACAAGATTGATGAATGTGGAAGAAGCGAAAGAGGTTTGTTTGAATCGAAGCATTTGGCGTTCCATTGTTTCTGCCTACCCTAATGGGAGACAGGCGTGACAGATATGTATGTATGTATCATCCATTAAAAAACTCTGATATGTTGATGTTCCACCAACTGCTGCTTTCAGAAAGGAATCCTACTTACAGGTGGCTCCATACTCCTGGACCAGGGTCCCCATCCGCCGTGCTCCTCCTCATGGTCGTAATGGTGCTGATGCTGAGCATGCTCGTAGTAGATTATCTGAAAGTTGAAATAACCAGTAAAAATATGATGGAGAACAAGAAATGAAAATTTTAAAAAAAGTAAAACCTAATGATTTATATCCCTATAGTATAAAATACTGTAGTAATGATCGCTACAGAAATTGTATAATATATAATTTATATAAATATTGCGAAATATTTGAACCGTACCATAGAGGGAGACTTTGTACAAAAGTCGATTGCTTGGGTACCTCTGTCCCATTCGGGTTTCAACCGTGAAGCAGTTGTGTTTGCATGGCTGTGTTTCGGTTTGAAGGGTGGGATATGGCGTGACTTTACACGGTACAGAGGAATAACACCTGATTCCGCGGGAATGGCAACGCATGGGGGGTATCATGGGCGAAACAGTATACTCTGTTATGTCCATGGTACTGCTCATGTGTATAGGCGACAGTCACCACTTTCCATCAGGTGGGCCGTCAGCTTGTTTGCCATTCTAAGTTGTGTAAAAAAAAAAGTTATAAAGGGCTAACGAACCCGACGTCCAACCAGTTACGTTAATTTCCATACGTTAATAACTCAATAAAACATTCAGAGTTTTTCAAAAATCAATTTTCATGTATTATCGATTTTGCTTGTCATAAACTAATCGATACATCTAATCGATACAATTATTCGAATCTCTTCCACGATTGCGCACGCGTGCAAATTTTTAATTCGTATTCGGAATGTGAGATATCAGTATGGTTGCTTTCTCTCGACCTGATTTTAGGGTTACCACTTTTTTTTTAATGTTTTTTTTTCAACGTGCAGCTCACGGAACAAGTTTAATGCGTGTGAATCTTAGATTAAGATTATCTATTCAATGTGATAGACAAAAACATAGTAACATTAATGTTAAAGCGAGATAGATATATGGCCATTCGCTTGCGCACTGGAGGTTTTAAAGGACGGAAGTTTTTTTTTAATGAATGATAATAGAACGGTAAATTTGCCAACGATATAAGTATACTATGTCGGGGCACCAGTGAGTAGTAGGCATTTTTTTAAATGGGTAATATAGAATACCGGGGGGTGGAAAGGGACTGTTAAAAATGGTTAGGAACGGCCCTATTGCTAGCAATACACCCTATCAGGTCGACCTCTACGCGATTCCCTTTGGAAACCATCGAGGTTAGCTCTAGTGGAATTCGTCACAATCAGCTAAACTGACCTGCTTTCATCCTCACCTACCATCCCTGACTGGTGTCCCGCCAGCGTATACTCACCCATTACTAACATAACTCAGAATTGTTCATTATGGCAGTCTATGCAGGAGACCTGTGTTCAGCAGCGGACATATGGTGATAATGGATGATGGTGATGCGCTACCGGTGGGGCGCTAGTAAATGATGATATGAGGATGAAAAAGTCGATTCAGTTCTGTCCCATCGTGACGAATTCAACAAGAATTGTTCACGATGGTTTCGGTTTGAACCACGGATGGAGGTCGATTTAATAAGGCATATTGCTAGCAATGGGGCTGTCAAACTCCATTGCTAGCAATCCCTTTCCCGCCGAAATATAACTGCTGAGATGATGGTGATGAATCTATTCTACGCATAACTATCCATCAGATGGGACTGTTAGCTTATGTGACTTCTAAGTTCTCATTACTAACAATATACTTTGTCAGGTCGACTTTCACGTAGCTACCCCCTGGAAACCATAGTGTTGAAGTACAGGTGTACTCATCGCGGTGGTCTAACTGATTTGCCTTTTCATTCTCATTTATCATCCCTCACTGGTGCTCCGCCAGCTTATACCGTTAGCGCTACACAGTCTAAACTTTATACCCAATCCTTTCTTGTCTCGCCTCTATGATTTCATAGACAATCTGCCAGCGATTGTATACGTTATTCTATGTCTATGGTTAAAATAAAATAAAACAAATATGCTCCAATAATGTGACCTCGATATTAGCTATTACTAGCGGTACTTAAAGGCATTTTTTGTCCACCATTGCTGTTATGTCGTACGTAATAAGGTAGGAACTAACTTTACGCTCTTATCGATAGAAACGTCCAATGTCTCATTAGTTTATTTTAGCTATTGAACTGTTGTTATCTCTTTCTTTTATGCTGCATTCCCAATTGAAAAAGAAAGAGAGAAAATAGGTAAATTTTATTTATTTGTTTATTCTCTTTTTATTTTATTTATTTTACACTTTATTGCACCATTTATAGAATAGTAACTACATTTAACTGTAATGAGAAGTGATACAAAAGGCTGCCTTATCGCTAAGCAATCTCTTCCAGACAACCTTTGGGTAGAGGGCATTGAGAAAAAGACAAAGGGTAGGTGGCACACTATTATAGATATATTCTTTATTGCACAATAAAACTTTGTACAAGTGGCGAGCTTAATGCCATATGGCATTCTCTGCCAGCTAACCATTAGGTGAAAATAGACAGCAGTATCAAGGGTAGATGTAGTCAAAAGTATTTGACATATTTTTTTTATACAACTTAGAATGGCAAACAAGCTGACGGCCCACCTGATGGTAAGTGGTAACCGTCGCCTGTAGACATGAGCAGTACCGTGGACATAACAGAATATACTGTTTCGCTCATGATATAACTCCCATGCGTTACCATTCCTGAGGACTTGGGTGTTATTCCTCTGTACCCAGTAAATTCACTGCCATATCCCACCCTTGAAGCCGAAACACAGCCATGCAAACACAACTGCTTCACGGTAGAAACATGAATGAGACAGAGGTGCCCAAGCAAACGACTTTTGTACAAAGTCTCCCTCTGGTGAATACATGATATTATTAAATAAAAATTTTGCTTCAAAATCCGAAAATGAAATAAATATAGAATACACAATTTACAATATTTTAAGAATACTGATCATAGTCAGATATATTAACAAAATAAAAAAGTCAATAATAACTAATAAGAGAATAAAATTCATTCGTCATTTTCTTCTGTTGCATGTGTGCTATTATGTGTATGTTTATGTATATATATATATATATATACATACATATATAGACAATCTTTATTAAAATGTATTACAGACACAGCCCTTGGAAAGCCAATGTAACCACTAATTGTAGAGTCAGTAACCCGAGCAGTGACAGTTCGCGTTGATGAGCAAATGTGTTAATGGGTATATATATATAGGGTTGTGTGTGCATGTATATATATATATATATATATATATATTATATTTATTTTATATAAATATATTGTATATATATATATATATATATATATATATATATATATATATATATATAATACAGTAAATATTAATGAGAAGTGATACAAAAGGCGGCCTTATAGCGAAGCAATCTCTTCCAGACAACCTTTGGGTAGAGGACATTGAGAAAAAGACAAAGGGTAGGTGGCACACTATTATATGAATATTATATATATATATGCTTGTGTGTGTATGTATATATATATATACGGTATATATGTGGTAAAACAACGTTTACGGGGTCAGCTAGTATATAAATATATATATATATATATATATATATAATAATAATGAGTGGGGATAATATTTATATTATTATATTAATTGTTTATAATTACTCCTCTCCACCCAAAGGTTGCCTGCAAGAGATCGCTCTTAGCGATAAGGTCGCCCATTGTTTTCTCATTGTGATTATTTCTTGTAATTATTTATATTTATAATAAGTGTACTATTATAATCTTTTGGAGGAAACAATAAAGAGTATCTATCTATCTATCCACTGCCCATTCCCTGTTGTGATTGGTATGCAGACATCAATCCAGTCTGCTGTTCCACATACATACATAATCAGTGTGTTCGGATTAATATTCCGGCCGTAGTCCACCTATGTGGGACTGGGTATGTAGGTGTCCGGCTGCGAGTTCAACATCAGTTTCGAGTTACACTGACCTTGTACTATATTAGTAAATTATTAACGTCACGTCAACTATGTAGCCTACTCCCATAACGGCCAGACGGCTTGGCATAGTGTTAAATTGAATTTCCTTTCGTTTAAACTGACTTCAAAAAGACTTCAAAATAGATTCTCGATTCGTTTGTATTTCTATTCCTATGTTTGTCACCTCATAACTCCGTCAGTTGTGAATCGATTTTTTTTTTTGATGGATGATAATGGCATGGTAACCCCGCCTGCGCTAACGGTATACGCTGGCGGGGCACCAGTGAGCGATGATAGGTGAGAATGACAAGGCAGGTCAGTTAGCCCATCGTGATGAATACACTTGGAATTCAGCACGATGGTTTCCAGGGGGGACCACGTGGAGGTTAACCTGACAGGGTATATTGCTAGCAATGGATCTAGAAGTCCACATTACTAACAATTCCACCCGCAACTTGATGTTTAGAAGACAGTAGGATTATAAAAATACTAGCTTTTACGCGTGATTTCTTCTACACCGGGATAAGTTCATTGACCGGGACAAAGGCCTATATCCTTCTCCGTCCCATATAGTACGTAAAAAAAAAATACAAAATTTCACAGTGATCAGACCTTTCTTTGCATAGTGGTGGAAATTTCCATCATAACATTGAATGCCCAAAAAATATTTAAACGAACAAGTTCACTTTAAGTTGATCGTGTCTGGATACTTTTTAATGTACATTGCAGTAAAAAAAAAACATGGCTGTCAAATTTACTTCTCTAACCATTTTTCCTATAATTTTGAACATCAATTATATAAACTTGATTTATATCACCAATAAAAAAAATCATGCAAAGAAGGGTTAAGCCGCTAATACGCTACAAACAAAGAAGTAAACTCACTCTCACATTTATAATTTTAATAAGGATTAAAAAGAAAAATAAAGGCACGAATAACATTTGTCTGTGGGGTTTAAATTAAATAAATTAATATCATAAATTATAATTATAATTATGAATGTAATTAAAAGATTAATTGGCATTATAATTTGCCCCTTTCACTGACTATTATATTACTTAGCCCCATTATGACACTTTCTTTTTGAACCGTACTCCCATAGAAACTTCTCGAGCATTCGTTTCTTATT